TGGGCTGGGGGTGCCGGCAGCTCCGGCAGGGCCTCCGGGGTGATGAAGAAGGGCAGGGGCAGGCCGGCCTTGCCGATGGCCACGTGGTGGTTGGGGATCCCTTCCTGCCACTTCTGGAGCGTGATGCCTGGGTAGAAGGGCACGCTGCCCCGGCTCTCGATGCGCGAGGACACTGTGTTCTCCAGATAGCTCTTGGTCAGCTCGTCCTGCACCTGCGTGGCAGCCCCAATCCCCACGTTGACCTTGCCGAAGAAGGTGACGGAGGCCGAGGCGGTGATGCCAGCCTTCTCAGCCAACTTGTCCAGCAGGAAGGTCTGTTTGACCTGGTCCTCCTGGATCAGGCTGGCTCCGGCCTCCAGGCTGGTCAGGACGTGGGTGCCATAGTTCAGCACCAGCACCTCAGCCAGGAACCTGGCTGCCCGGCTCTGGTTGTTCTCCAGCTGGTTGCCGATGGCCAGGAGCTGGTGCCGGAAGTTGGGGTGGAGGGTGAAGGCCGGCTGGGCCTTCACCGAGTAGATGTGGTGCCGGACTTGCACCCGGGTAGTGACCGTCTGGTCGTAGACGTTGTGGGTCTTGGTCTCCTGGCATGCCCAAGAGAACTTGCCGTTGAGGACGCCCAGGAAGGAGGCCTCGGCGTTGACGGAGCGGGCAAAGGCGTCGGTGTAGGAGAGCCAGTCCTCGATCAGCTCGGCGTGCACCTGCACCCGGCTCTCCCGGAGCGGCACCACCTCCACCTCGTCCGGCAGCAGGTACTCGCCGTCCTCCGTGGTGCGGCACTGCGAGTAGTTGAGGCTCATGACGCGCCCCACCTCCACGTTGCGCAGGTTGTCCCAGCCGCCGCCGGGCAGCACTTCCAGCACGCTCACGTTTAGGGCCTGCTTGCAGGCTTGGAAACCAGGGTCCGCAGCGCCCGCGCCCGCGGCCAGCAGCAGCGCCCAGACCCACGGCCCCATGGCTGTGCCACGCCGGAGCTGGGCTCCCTGCGGGGGAATGCGGCGGCTGCTGGGCTTTGTGTCCGCTCCCGGCGCCTCTCTCTCCCCCACGCCGCCTGGGCTTGTTCCCCAGCCAGGTTCCTCGTACAGGAAGCCTCTGATTTTTAAATGTGCAGATAAATAAATAGAGAGAGAGAGAGAGAGGAACTCTTCGATTGACCAATGGCCATCGTGGAGGTGAGGCCTCGGGGCGGACCCTGAACTAAGTCACTGGAGTTGTCATCTGATTTACCCTCCCCACAAAAAAGGAAGAGAAACCGACCAGTGAAAAGTTCCTCAGCCAAACCACACCCACGTCTGCACCCCCCAAGCACCCCCGCACGCATACCCACGCCCCCTGTCTGTCCAGCCCCACCCCCGCTCCTTTTGGAAAGTTCCCCGGGAAACCCCCCCCAGGGAGCAGATGCAAACAGGCTGGGTCAGCCCTGGGAATTTCCAGTCCTGTGCACCGCCCACTCACAACCTGCCTGCTGCACTCTTCCAGCCACGGCATTTCCCTAGGCGGATGGGCCCCGGGCCAGAGCACAAGGGGAAGAGTGACGCAGTGTGGAGCAGCCAAGCAGGGGAAGCCCTGGACCTGGGGGGCTGCGGAGGGGAAGATGGGGGGGAGGGAGGGAGGAGGAAGCTCCTAGAGGAGGCGGGAGGCAGGTGGGAACCTGAGCTGTGGTATTTGTCTCTGTTCTCCATGGCCTTGCTCTGAGCCACCGAGTCACCCACCTTGTGCGTCCTGCGCCCTGCCTGAGGAGGGGTACAGCCCCCAGGGGGCAGGGGTAGCAACATTCTACCCTTCTTCTGTGCTGAGCGGTGGGAGGAGCTGCCCCCCGCTCGGTAACGTGCCCCAGGGCTGCCCGAAGTGAGGCCCACACCCCTTTCCATCCTCTCCTCCCCCCACCTGCTGCCTTGTGTTGGCAGCCGACCAAGGCCTGGCCTGGAGGAGGCCCTGGAGTGAAACAGCAGCTGGGCTTCCTGGTGCAGGGCTGCACGGGGCCACGAGGGAGAGGCGCTGGGCCAGAGAGGGGACCACAGGGCAGAGGATGACTGGGGAGGTGGGCAAGGTGGAAGGGGCGCTTTGCAGGCCACGCTCAGAGCAACCACTGGTAGGAGATTTCCCCTGCCTCACTGCTCCACCTGAGGGGCTGCGTGTGCCTGTGAGCCTGGGACGGAAACCCCCAAGCGCTAGGGCAGGGGTAGAGGGGACCTTTTCTGTGTCAGGGCCTTTGACCCACAGAAAAATCATTTGGGGACTGCACACAAGCGAGATTTTGTGTGCTCCACCTCTGTGGTGGCATGGCGGTGGGGAGAGCCCTGAGCCTCAGGGGCAATATCTGGCCCCCGGGCCTGAGCTGCCTCACCCCTGCACTAGGGGAAGGACCAGCAGCTGCAGAGACATGGGAGCGGGTGGAGGGAGGGGGCTAAGGACGGTGGTGCTGAGTGTCCCCCAGAATTTGAGAGAGCTGCCCTCAGCCCTCCATGGGTACAGGCACAGCTGGCTGAAAACCCAACACAACCCAGCGAGGCGTTTTTAAAACCGCAAGAGGAGGCCAGGCAGCCACCTGTTGGCAGTTTTGCTCTCAGAATGGAAACTTGGGACAGGAAGTGACAGGCCCATAAAGCCAGAAGAGCTGTTCCATGGGCGGCCGTGCCGTGCCTCGGACAAGCGCGTTTTATTATTGGTATGACTGAAGGATACCGCATTCGTGGCTGTTGCTAGGGCCGTTGCTAGTTTCTCGGGGCGTTTACCGGTGATGTGCTCTGTCTGAAAACAAACACGTCTCGAGTTTAATTCAGCTTTTGCTGGGAGCAGGCTGAGCGCGCTGGCTTTGGGCAGCCCCTACGTGCCCCAGCAGCCCCACGGAAGGAGAGGGCCCCTGGGAGTCTGGCTGTTCCTTCCTCAAAACCGCTTCAGACTTTGACAAAAACTTTAAGTGATTCAAATACCCCCACCCTGCTGCTACAGGGGGTGGGCGCTTGTGTGGTGTTAAGTACAGGAACGCTGGCGTGTGCCGATCACTCAGCAGGTGGAAAAGCCAGGCCCCCTTTAAATTACTCTTGGCATCTCCTGGAGAAAAAGAGTAAAGGTACCACTGCTTTGGCTCTGAAAACGGGGCGCGGCGGGGAACAACAGCCCTTCCTGCAGGAGCAGCTGGCTGCATTTGGGCAGGGCTAGTGGCCAAGGTCGTGGGGAATCAGGGTAGGGTCACTGAGTCACTGCCAGTACTCTGTGGGGCTGCAGCGCTCAGATGCAGAATGGGGCTCTTTCTGGCTCTGCCAGCCCTGACCTCTGCCCTCTCCCCGCAATCCCAACCATGCAGCCCCTTGCTATACCAGCCCTGAACGCCTCCCACCACCTGCTCTGCTGGTGGCCCCTAATCCAGCCCCGCAGACTCCTGCTGTCCCAGCCCCGGGGTCCCTGCCCCCAGTAGTGTCAGTGCCTCCTCCAGCCCACGCTGCCTGCGGGTCCAGCCCTTGGCCTTCTCCCTCCCCTCCCCCAGCAGTGTGGGTGCCCCTCAGTGCATCCCGCGGCCATTCTCCCCTCTTGCATAGTCAGGGAGACAGCCCCAAAACAACCCCTGCTAGCTCCCAGCCAGCTCTTTGCTGTAATGTCTCAGCCCAGCCAACAATGTGTGTTCCACAGTGACCTGAACAGAGTGGGGTCTCATCCTGCAGCCTTCCCCCAGCCCAGTCCTGCGGGCACATCATCAGCTCCAAGGGCAGTAGCCTGGGCCGTCGGCTTTGCCAGCCCTGCTCTGGCTCCGCCTGCCTGCAGAGTCTCATGGGAGGGAGCAGGAAGAAGTTGTCGGGGGGTGCAGCCCTGAACCCCCGGGCTGATAAAACCCTTTGGAGCCCCTTGTGTTAGCCACATCCGCAGCCGGAGCTGAGCAGTGGGCTGCATGGCCCAGACCTGCTACAAGAATGTCCAAACACTAACGAGCAACTAGAGTCTCTGAGCCGTGTCGCTGGACCCGACCCCTTGCAGCTTTGGGTAAAAGACACCAGAGGGAAAATCAGCAGAGTCCCACTGCATGAATCCAACCGACTGACACCAGCTGGGACCTGGTCCATTGATCCTGCTGGGACCTGGTCTACTGACCCAGTTGAGATCTGGTCCATTGACCCAGCTGGGACCTGGCCCATTGACTCAGCTGAGACCTGGCCCGCTGACTCCAGTGGAGCCACGGCTCATTGACCCAGCTGGGACTTGGCCCATTGACACCAGTGGAGCTACGGCTCATTGACCCAGCTGGGACCTGGCCCATTGATACCAGTGGAGCTACAGCCCATGGACACCAGCTAGAGATCACTTTTATAACTATCCAATTGACCAATTTGTGACAGAAAAC